CAGGGAAGGGATCTGAGCCCTGGGCTCGGCACTGGGGAGGCCGCCCCTCGATTCCTGGGTTCAGTTCTGGGCCCCTCACCCCAAAAAGGCCATTGAATGACTCGAGCGTGGCCAGAGAAGGGCAACGGAGCTGGGGCAGGGTCTGGAGCACAGGTCTGCTGGGGAGCGGCTGGGGGAACTGGGGGGGTTCAGTCTGGAGCAGAGGAGGCTGAGGGGAGACCTCCTGGCCCTCGGCAACTCCCTGCCAGGAGGGGGCAGAGAGGGGGGATGAGTCTCTGGAGCCAAGGCCCCAGCGCCAGGCCCCGAGGGAATGGCCTCAAGCTGCCCAGGGCAGGGTCAGGCTGGCTCTGAGGAAGGATTTCTGTGCAGAAGGGGCTGTTGGCCGTTGGAATGGGCTGCCCAGGGCAGGGGGGAGTCCCCGGGATCCCTGGAGGGGTTGAAGAGTCGGGCTGAGCCAGCGCTGAGGGATCTGGGGGAGTTGGGAACGGTCAGGGGGAGGGTCATGGTGGGGCTGGAGGAGCTGCAAGGGATTTTCCAACCCGGATGATTCTGGGATTCTGAGTGTGTCCTACAAGTGCGGGGTGCCTGTGAGATGAGGGTGTGAGGGTGTGTCTTTGCTGGTGAGCTCTAGTCTGGGCCAGTTGGTGAGCAGGACACCTGTGGGGCTGGTAAGAGGGTGCAGGGTGCAGGCAGGGGTGTTGGGTGGACAGAGGGGCTGTGCTGGGGCTCGAGGCATCCAGGAATGCCCACGGGTGGCTGCACTTACGTAGTACTGAGTGCTCTTGGGTATCCCTGGGTGCTGTCCATGACAGCTTGTGTGGCCCAGTCAGAGCGTGTGTGTGTGTGTGTGTGTGATCTCTAGGATACACACTCGGCTTTGGGGTTGAACCTGCAAATGGGAAAGCAGCAGGCACATCCACTGTCCTGGGACAGAGAGCTCTGTGTCCTGGGGCATCCCAGGACGGGCTCCAGCAGCCGGGCAGGAGGAATCCCCAGGGCTGGAGCTAGATGGTTGGACTAGATGATCTTCAAGGTCTTTTCCAACCTAGATGATTCTGTGATTCTGTGCTGGAGAGCCCTCTTTATAAGAGGCCGCAGCCTCTTCCAACATACCTTAAAGAAAGTCTGTTTTCCTCTTCCACAGCCATGGATTGCCAGGAGGACATCCTAGAGGATGAGAAGGCACACCTTGCTGAAAAACTGCTGTCAGAAGCATGTGAGAAGGAAGGACTGGACTGCGGATACTGGCTCCCCCAGCTGTCGGGGATACTGGGAGTCAAGTCCAGAGAAGCCCTGAAACATCTGTGCTATGAAGACTACCTCAAGCTGGAGTGCAAGGTGCGGTACCCCTGGGAAGCAAAGGCGCTCCAAAAGCTCCTGGAACTCACAAACACCAAGACAAGTGCTGAGGAGCTGCAAAAGGAGCGCCTGGAGAAGGCAAAGCAGAGGCAAGAAGCAGCCAGGGCAGCCCTGAAGGAGCTGAAAGAAATTCACAACAGCAGCAGCCGCAGCGCGGACGCTGTGAGAGAGAAAGAGGAGGCTCTGTGGCAAGCCATGGAGATTCCCAAAGAGTACTGGGCACCACCGGGGAGGTCGCTGGCGGATGTGCTGAAGAGCATCCAGAAGCAGCTGGAGGAGCAGGAGGTGGTGGTGCGCAGGGGTGAGAACGTCTCCGACACGGAGGTGCTGAGGCGGGCGTCGGGGGGACTGGCCCTGCAGGGCATTTACAGGACCAGCAACTTTGCAGATGTGCTGGCAAAGCGGGACCAGCTCATCCAGATTCCTGATGGGTTCAGGCTGGCCGGCCCAGAGCAAGGGTCGCTGCTTGAGAAGAAGGAGTTCTCCTCCTCTGCAGAGCAAGCTGCTTTCACCAAGTCCATGGAGCAGCTGGGATTCAGCATCAGCGTTTCTGCCAAAGCCGGGTTCTGGGGGTTCAGTGCTGAAGCCGGTGTGGATTACAGCAGCTCCTCGCGGTCGGAGGACACCCACGAGTTCCGCCGGGAGCAGAGCTACATTTGCACCACCAAGTACCAGTACATCCCGCTGGCCTCCTGTTACTTCCAAAAGCATCAGCTCCAACTCTCGGACGTGGCCCTGCGGGAGCTGCAAGACATCGAGCACCTTTTGAGCATCACTCCAGAAGCCGACAGGCCCCTCATGCTGAAGAGCAGGTGCGCGAGCTTCTTCAGCAGGTTTGGGTCCCACATAAACCAGGGTCCCCTTCACTTCGGGGGGATATTCTGGTGGAGAGCGACTGCCGAAGGGTTCAGCGCTGAGCAGCGGGAAGAGTTGAAGCGAGAAGCGTCGGAAGCCCTCAGCTCCTTCGTCGGGGCCAGCTACAGCGGCTTCGGTGCCAGCGTGGAAGCGGGCGTGAGCGTTTCAAAATCCAGCTCACGGGCTTCTGTCGAGAGAAAAGCTGGACGGAGTACCCACATGGCGATTCAGCTCTACGTGGCCAACACGGGGGGCCCGTCAGAGACAGATTCTCTCCCGCAGTGGAAAGCAGGGCTCGTAGCTAATAACACCACCTGGTGCGTTATCGACCGAGGCTTTCAGCTGATGCCAGTGTGGGATATAATCCTGTTCAATCACAGCAGTGATTTTAAATCCATCTACCAGATGAGCAGCAGCCTCAGGGCCACGTACGAAGCGCTAACGAATCACAGTGCCGGCACCATGTTTGGAGAGGAGCTGGTCAGTGCAGTGGAAGAGGCCAGAGCTTTCGTGGAGCACGTGAAGGCCTGGGAGGTGAGGGCAGATGAAAGGCAACTGCTCACGCTGATGGATGTCAAACGGAATCTGTACGAAAAAACCAAAAACCACAGCGTCTGGATCAACGTGTGCCTGTCAGACAAGGCACTGCAGGAGTTCCTGCGGAGCACCGTTGAGTTTTACAAGCAGTCATCCCCAGAAAACATCACCTATATCAAGTCTCTGTTGCGGTGCCTCCTGGATCCTCATGTCTATTCTGTCAAGGACTTCCCCGGGTCCGCCCTCATTATGCAATGGATCTTCCACGCCAAGCACGCGCTTCCCGAAACTCTCAATGTTTCTGAGCTTGAAGACCTCACCCAGACACTGCTGCAAATGAAGGATTACATCCAGGATGTCACCTACGCACCAGAAACCTCTGCATCGGCCATTCACGAAGCAAAGATAAAAGCCACCTTAACGGCAAGCCTGGGTGTTTATTCCTTACTGCAGTTTCTCCAGGAGAGGGCACAGAAAGACCTAGAACTGTTGGTGCTCTTAATTACGACCAGCACGGGGTACCAGGTGGAAAGGAGCACTTTTCGGTACCTCCTTGGCTGTCCGGAAATAAACTTCATGGCAAATGAAATGCAAACGAGGCATAAGGAGTATCTGAGTCTGAAGGAGCAAGACGCTTACAGAGCCCAGGCCTTCCTGCTGCTGACGGGCCTAACTGTAATGGCCAAATATAAAGAGATGTCCCCTGAGCAGAAGAGTAAGCGCTTAGTCTTCATGGAAGGTCAAATGGAAAACTTATGGACCACAGAGATAAAAACTCTCCTCAAAAAGCACAGTGAGATCAAAGACTGGGAGCTGCTGGAAAGGGACTTGGATTCCTTCATCAGTGGGCACTTGGGTGACACGTGTGACGATCTGAAGACAGACAGTATAATCAAAGACATGGAAGACACTTTTCAAAGAACAGAACCTTCCCATCAGTCCAAATCCAAATCAGACAGCAGCGAATCCAAGGGAAATCAAGCCGCTGCAAACAAAGAGTTCTTCCACTTACTGAAGCGCCTGGGACTAGAAAGTTACTACCCAAGGAAAATGGGGACAGAAGATTTCCACATCCTATACGGGACATCTTTACATGACAGCCAGCCCAGCAAGGACAGCGAACTGCCATTTTACTTCTTGCAAAAGCTCTTGACCGTGGACTATCGGGTGAGGTACCTGACTTGCAAGGACGAGAGCAAGCCAGGACTCGCACCCGTGCCCAAAAGCCCAGAGCAAGAGCATGAACCCTCGGATTCCTTTGACGACTTTTTCAATGATTTGGAGGAAGAAGCCACCGAGTCTGCAGCCACGGACAGTCGTGTGCACCCCATGGACCTCCAGATGGCAATTTTTCATTGCGCCGATGACTTCATGAGACAGTACATTTCAACAAAGCTTGCTTTCTGCCAATTCGCGCTACCTCTCCTGGTACCCAACCCGTGCACTTCACAGATAGAGTTCCCCCTCTGGTCCTTCAGCCAAATCAAAAAGAGCTGGAAAGGGGCTGAGAAGTCGGGAACGCAGGCCAAAATTACCAGTTACAAAAACCAACTCATTTATCAGGCCGAGACACCCATCGTGTCCTTCATACGGATCGGCAGTTCTCCCTCCTCTTCCAAGTCTCACATCCTGAACGCTCTGCTGAGCAAACAAAAGCACGACACCTTTTTCCACCGACATTGCAAGGGCAGCACCAAAGACTGTTTGCTGATGAAAGGCGTTGTGGAGATCTCCTGGTACTGTCCCCGGGGCAGCGACGATGACAACTTTGACTGCTGCGTTGCCTTCTGTAACCTGCACGGAGATGCAAGGGATCACGAGAAACAGCTGCAGTTCTTGCAGGAGATCTCTGCCATGAACGTGGCTCTCGTAACCGAGTCTGATCAGAGGGACAAGAGAGGGATGGAAATTTTACGTCAGCTGTGGCAGTCGCAAAGGCCTTTGCTTTGTCTTTTCACTGAGAAAGAGAACGTTACAGCTGGCCGATCCAGCCAAAACATAAAAATAGGGATCAAGAACAGAAACGAAGCAGAGTTAATGGGTGAGCTGACAAAAGCAATCAGGGATCTCCTGGAAGGGTCTAAGACACTGTTCAGCCTTGACGCCTGCCTGGACATAGCTCGCAAGCATGGGTTCGAAGTCGATGAAGATACAGACGCCTGCGTGATGGCCAAAGAAAAGGCGAAGGCGCTGGTTTCGCTTCTGAAGAAAGAGAAGTTGTGTGAGATCAAATCCCAGCTACTGCCTCTTCAAGGAAAACTGTGGTACCAGTGGTGCATGAAGGACAAAGAACTCACTCGCTTGCAGGAAAAGAGGAACAAGAGCATAGAGCATCATCGGAGCCAAATCGAATCAGAGAAGTCAGCAATAAGAAGAAAGCAGCTAGACAAAGCCTTCCCCCTCAATCAGCTGATGAGATCAGTCCTGGGCTTTCTCCAGTCACAGCCAGCAGACACCAAGAAATACTTCCTGCAGTGGATGAAGGTCTTTATGGATGACTTGTCCTCCGATCGCCTTGACGAACTGAGGAAAGAATATCACCAGTTATGGTCTGAAATCCTGGCAATAAAGAAAAGCAACGAACAAACCGATGTGAAAACTCTGCTGCTGAGTAAGTTAGACGCCCTCTCCAATGAAATCAACGATTCGTCCATTGGCCTCGAGCATATTCTGAGAGAGGTGGGGCAGATTTATGAAGCTCTCGAATCAATGAACTCAAAGGATAAATGTTTTGTCAAACTACCCGAAATTGCAGCTGACCTGATGGTTTCGGGGTACCCTGTCGAGCTGATGGATGGGGATGCTTCTTACGTTCCGTTACGATGGGTCGGAGCCATCTTTGACAGACTAATTGAGAAGCTCGGGGACAAGCGAGTGTTTGTTCTCTCGGTGCTTGGCATCCAGAGCACGGGGAAGTCAACCCTGCTGAATGCCATGTTTGGTCTCCAGTTCAGTGTCAGTGCAGGGAGGTGCACCCGGGGAGCGTTTATGCAGCTCATTAAAGTGGACGAAAAGCTGCAGCAAGATTTGGACTTTGATTACATGCTGGTTGTTGACACGGAGGGGCTTCGCGCCATAGAGATGGCCAATAAACAGTCCCTTAACCACGACAACGAGCTGGCCACCTTTGTCATCGGCATTGGCAACATGACCCTGATCAACATCTTTGGAGAAAACCCCTCAGAAATGCAAGATGTCCTTCAGATCGCTGTGCAGGCTTTCCTGAGGATGAAGCAAGTACATCTTTCCCCAAGCTGCCTGTTTGTGCACCAAAACGTGGGGGAAATAACTGCCAAGGAAAAGAACATGGAAGGACAAAGACGTCTTCAGGAGAAGCTGGATGAAATGACCATGACAGCTGCCCAGCAGGAATTCTGTGACATCTCCTGCTTCAGTGACGTCATCCGCTTCGATGTCAACACCCACATTCATTACTTTGCTCACCTGTGGGAAGGAAACCCCCCAATGGCACCACCCAACCCCACCTACAGCCAGAACGTCCAGGAATTAAAGAGCAAAATTCTCCAAGCTGCCAAGAAGGAGTCGCAGGGCAGCATTCTGAGGCTCTCGAGCTTGAAAGTTCGTATTACCGACCTCTGGAACGCTTTGCTGAATGAAAACTTCATTTTCAGCTTCAAGAATTCGGTGGAGATTGCTGCGTACAAGAAACTGGAAACTGCATTTAGTCACTGGACCTGGCAGCTGAGGAGTCACATCTTAGACATGCAAATGAAACTGGACCATAAGGTTCGGAATGGGGACTTGCAGAAGGTCACCACAGAATACCTTGAAAAACTAGTGCAGGAAACCAGTGACAACATCACAAAAGCCATGGAAAAGTATTTCAGTGAAGACAAAGACTCCGAGATTCTGATCCAGTGGAAAGGCAGCATGGAACTGAAGCTGAAAGAACTCAAAGAGTCTCTTCTCCTGGAAACCAGGAAGAAGTGTGAGAGTCTGATTGAACTGAAGAAGAACCAGTGTAAACTGGATGAAAGGAAGTCAGAATATGAAAACGAGCTCCTGAAAAGGAGTAGGCAGTTGGCTCTGTCTCTGAAAGGCCAGAGTCTGAGTGAAAGGGAACTGAGAGACAACTTCATTTCTCTCTGGGCAGTCTGGATTACTGAAGTCTCCTCCGCTGCTTCCCCTCTGGAGAAGGTTGATATCGATGTGGAAATAGAAGATGTCCTTCTAGATCGCTTTAAGGAGCCCAACTTACACACACGCATCGAGGAATTTCCCAAACACGGAGTCTTTTCTCTTGACTTGAAGAAACATATCACTAGGAAAAAACGTTGGGGCATCTTGAATGTGGATTTTGATGCTGCCGATGTGAACAACATGCACCACATTACAGATAACATCATAGAGTGTGTGAGGGAGAACATTGATAAGAAGGAAAAGGAGAAACTGGATTACAATCGAAGCTTTATCCATGAAATACTAAACGAAGTACAAAAAGGTATGAACTCTGTCCCTAGCACTGCAAAATACAGTTTTAATAAAGATTACAGAATAGATTTATCACTGTATCTGTGCAGAATGACAGCAGGAAGGTTTAAAGCCATGCATGTAGCCTTCAGAAAAGCAAATGATCCCGCCGTCTACCTGGAGAGCAAGCAGGAAGATTTCTTCAAATGTTTCCAGATCTCCTGCCAAGGAGCCACTTCTATCACAACATTTGCTGTTTTCCTGTGTGACAAGATTGCCCCGGCTCTTCGGCAGGCAGTCTATGAGAAGACAGCTCTTGCCATAGCTCGAGACATGAAGAGTAAAGTCTCAGATTTCAATGGCAATAGATACTCTCTGGAAGTTTGCATACTGAAATACATGGCACAAGAAGAAAAATTTGAGAATTTCAAGCAGTACCTGAGTCACCCAGAAGGGTTTTTCCGGAGTTACATTGAGAGACGTGTGAGGACGTACTGTTTAGATGAGAACAGGAGGCTTGAGAAATTTTTAGAAGACTCCCTCAGTCTCCTCTATGAAAGCATCCAGTCAGCTGTTTTTGCATCAACCAACATTGTCAGGGACAGGAAGGACAGAAACGACAAAATCTCTCTTTGGCTGGATGAATTCTGCAGCGCACTTGGCGAGGTGCTAAGCTTGCCCAGAAGAGACCTGAAGGGCATTGAGCATCAGGAGGTAGCAGACATAGAGTTCCTGAATAACGCCATGACAGAGGCCCTGGCTCCCCTGAAGGATAGTATCAAGGAAGAGTTTGCTATGGCTGATATGGGCAGATTCGAGCGGCAGCCTCACACCATCCTGGCTGAACAGTTCACAGGGTGCTGGCAGCAGTGTCCCTTTTGTGGGGCTGTTTGCACGAACACCATGCCCAATCATGATGGAAACCATCAGCTCGTCTTCCATCGCCCGGAAGCTCTGGTGGGACAAAAGTGGCACAGAACAGACCATCTGGTCATTGATATTTGTTCTAGTAGCGTTGCAAGCGACTGTACATTCCTGATTGGTGAAAACACGTGGATCCCCTACAAGAGATACCGGGATGCAGGGCATCCTTACTCCGCTTGGAACATTCCTCCTGATCCATCCATGCAAGCGTACTGGAAATGGTTTGTGGCTCATTTCAGGACAGAGATAGAAGGATGGTTCAATGGAAAATTTCATGGCAGAGGAGAAATCCCTCCCTCGTGGTATCAAATTACAAAGCAGGAAGCGCTTGACCAGCTGCAGAATCTTTAGGCCAAGTCGATAGGAAGGAAGAACCGCAACCGATTTTGCGTTTCAGAACAGATCACAAGTCATTCTACAAGATCTTCCGATAGTGACTACGACCTCAAGCCACATGAAGGAATAATAGCTAATTGCTCAAAGTTGTGTGAAATAAGGCGTGCTACCCCTGCCATTGCTCGGACATTCCCTTGCTTCATGATAACGTCAGAACCCTCTTCCCTTCTTGCCATAAGCGTTGACCTTTGCTTTGTTTTAGAGCAAAAATGAAAAACGTTCCTGCAGCGAGCAGTCATACGGCCAAGATTGAGACCAAGTGCCAAATGAAGAGCAAAGGCAGTGTCGGGAAGTACTGATTTTATCAGCTGCTCTGAGAAAATAAGTGACACTGGCAAAACAAGAGTTTTCCTGCGGCAAGTACTTGTTAGGCTCCAGGAAAGGGCTGCGGGGTCTGGGGGCAGCTCTGCGTTGGCTCGAGCTGTGCTGCTTGGCTGTTGGGGATTGCGGTCCTTTAGCGGTGGCTGTTCTGTCTCCGATGTCCGTAAAGCAGTTCCCATGGCAGCTGGCGTGGGGTGAGGCAGTGGTTTAACTCAGTGTTTACACCTTCTCCTACGGTAGGGCGAGCCATTCCTACTCAGGAATGGGCCTGGTGAGCTTCCCTCCAGCGCTCGGCCAGAGCAAAAGCCTTTGCATGCCCAGGGAGGAGAATCCCTTCTCTCTGCAGCTCCCTCAGCACCATCGGCGCGGCGCGACGCCAGCATTTGGGCTGTCAGGAGAGGCTGGGGACAACGGAGCCAGGGGCTGGAGAAGGTGTCACCGGCGGGGGCTGCACCACTGAGGAGGTTGCTGGGTTTTGCTGCGCAGTTCCTGCACCGCTGCTGGAGATCCAGGGATCGAGTCCTCCTGGAGAGTTGGCTAAAGTGCTCATTCCCTATAATCCTGTATGGTCTTTGCTAATAATCTAGTCGGCTCGGACTGGACCGGTCTCTGTATCCATTATTTTCGGGTGAGCCACAGCGCGTGTGACTTCAGCATTTGTGCTGTGAGGACGGGCGGGTGGCGAGCGGGCCACGGTCTGCAGAAGGGTGTGTGGAAGGGGAGTGTCGGCCCCTCTCAGGGGGTCTGGTCAAGGGTCTTCTGCAGTGTCCCAAGGCAGAATAATGCGGGGAGGAAGCTCTAAGCAAGAACATCCAGTTAACCAAATCTGAGCGACAAGGGGGGCAGAGGTGGGGTCAGTCCCACTAACTGAGGAGTGAAGGGGTGAGAAGGGTTATTCCGGCTGTTCTGCTGGTCGAGGGCACCAGTTAAACTCAGACACCCGAGTGAAAAGAGCAGGCTGATTTTACTGTTAATAACGAAAGGAGATAACCAAGTAACACAGAAAATAAACAATAAGAAAAATGCAGACTAGAGCACTTAATTCTGGCTGCATACAGTTAATTACAGAAGAACAGCAAGGCAATCCAGCTGACGGTCCCTACGGCCGGGGAGGACAGTGTTAAGGAAGATCCCTCACGTCTCCAGCCCGCAGGCGCCGGGCAGCCCCGGGTGCAGCGAGGACCTGGAGTCCCTCTCTGACCGGCAGCTCTCCAGCCACTCCTCCCCAGGCCTGTAGCCCCCCTGGGGGTTGTTGTGGCCCAAGGGCAGCCCCCGGCATTTGCCCTCAGTGAAACTCCCCCAGTGGGGCTCAGCCCCTCGCTCCAGCCTGCCCAGGTCTCTCTGCAGAGCCTCCCCACCCTTGAGCAGACCAACACCCCCACCCAACTTGGAGGCGATGGAGGATTGCCTCCTGCCTGGATGAGGCCAGGCTTGCAACCTCCCTGTGGGCTGCTGGCCCCTCTCTCCAAGCCTGTGGGGCAGGAGAGCTTGGGTTCAACAGAAACCTCTCCTCAGGGGAAGAAGGAGCCAGGGCTGCCCTGGGGCTCTGCTGAGGGCACTGGTGGCCTTGGCAGCATGAGGTTTAACAGCTGGACTCGATCTTGAAGTTGTTTTTTCCAACCTAAACGATTCTGTGATTCTGTGTATGTTCCCCCATGCACCTCGTCCCCCATCGCTGTTCAGATGGGAATTGTGGGATTTCATGACTTTCCTTCAAGTGGAAAGGAAAGCATCAACATTTTCAGTTTCCCATCTCATAGGAACATCTGCTCGGTCCCAGCCCTGCTTGTTCCCCTTGTGCGTTTTGCTGCAGTTTTATCTATCATCTATCAGAGAAAGATGGTCCAAAGGGGTCAGAACAGGGGGAACCTTCCCAATGCAGCTTGGACCGGGAGCATCCCAGGCTTCATGAACGCTGAGGCCGGGACTAGCAGGGAAAACCCAGGGGCAGGTAGGGCAGGGCTGGGGTGGGGGGAACTGATGGGCTCCACAGGGAGCCCGTCTGGGTCCCACTGGCTCCAGGGACAGGGACTTATATTTAGGATCCCACAGGATAGGGGGAAATGGAGGGGGGGACACACATGGGGAGGAGGCATGGGAAGGATAGAGCAAGGAGGGGGAGGGAAGGGAGAAGAAAAAGTGAAAGCGAAGTTGATACACTCAGATCTCCCCATCTCCACTTCCAGCACCGCCCTGGCCTCCTCCCAGGCTGTCACCCCAGCCCCAGCCCTGACACCCGCCTTCTCCAGCCCCCTTCTCTCCCACCACATGCATCAGACAGACGCCCACCAGGCAATTCCTGGTCAGCTTTACATTCACATCCCACCATCATCAGGTCTTTTGCCTTTGCTCATGACTTCTTTTGAGTGAGTCAGTGTCACCGAGAACCTTAGTTATAAACCTCCCCTGTGAGGACAGGCTGGGACAGTTGGGGGGGTCAGCTGGAGGAGAGAAGGCTCCGGGGAGACCTTAGAGCAGCCCCCCAGGGCTGAAAGGGGCTGCAGGAAAGGGGGGGGACTTGTCATCAGGGGGAGGGATAGGACAAGGGGGAACAGGTTTAAGCTGAAAGAGGGAGATTTAGGTTGGATCTAAGGCAGAAATTGTTCCCTGTGAGTGGGGTGAGGCCCTGGCACAGGCTGCCCAGAGAAGCTGTGGCTGCCCCCTCCCTGGAAGGGCTCAAGGCCAGGTTGGACGGGGCTTTGGGCAACCTGGGCTGGTGGAAGGTGGCCCTGCCCAAGGCTGGGGGGGGCACTGGAGGGGCTTTAAGGTCCCTTCCCACCCAAACCAGTCGGGGATTCGATGATCCTATGAACCATTGCAGACAGGGAGAGCTACTGCATCTCTTTGTGACAGCAGGTTTTCATTCCTTCCCACAGCAAATTCTGGAAGGAAGGACAAGCCAGACGATCCCTCTGAGGGAGACACAGTCCGAGGCGGACAGGCAGAGACACCGAAAGGCCTGGGCCCCGCGTAGAGTACTGGCTCCCTGCACTGGGTAGGAGCTGGGAGTTACTGGCACACAGGCCTGGAGACATCGGAAAGATGAAGATTACCTAAAGCTCGCAAGCAGTGCACAGTACACGTGGGAGAAAAAAAGCCCTGGAAGAGTGCTTCAGGCACATGGCAAGGCGAGGGTACCAGCACGGAGCCCCCAGGCCTGCCACCCTACCCGCCGGCTGGTCCAGCTTGGAGTTTGCTGGTGCTCAGCACTTCGCTCAGCTCATTCAAACCAGTGGCCCCCAGGTCGTTCGTTTGCAGGACACACACCGTCCCAACCCAGCAGCTGTAGGTTAAACCCCCCCCAGTGGCTCTGAGACCCCCACACTCACTCCCGTAGCGGCACTGGGACCCCACTCACTCCAGCAGCTGCACCGCAGACCGGAGGCACCTGCACTCCCAGTCGGACTCCAGTAGCTGGCCCCAAATCCACTCACACACAGAGCTCTCACCAGTACCTGGCACTGAGTCCTTGCAGCACACACTCACACTGGCGAGGTTTGTATCCTGCCACTGTCTTGATGTCTGTTTTGTCAGGTCTGTGTCTTGGTATATTTTGGGTTTGGTTCCCCTTTTTTCCATTAGTTTCCCACCTGCTCCCTGATCAGAAAACCCGGAGCCAGTGCAGTGCTTGGGCCTGGATAACAGGCCCTGAAACAAAGCTGACCTCTAGATGAACCTCACAACTAAACCTTATCCATTACTAGTATCTGCGAAGTAGTAAAATCTGTATCACCATTAGCGTTAATTATCAGTACCTGATCATTAAGGAAACGCGTGTGCTCCCTGGTGAAAGATGCAGCCCGGGCCAAACCTAACCAGCACTGAGGATGAGATGCTGAGAGGATGTATCCAGCTGCCCTCGCCCAGCCTCGTCCAAGGCTGGAACCCAAGTGTTTGGCCGTGTCAGAAACTCCCTCGGTTCTCCCCCCCGAGCCCCGGGCGGGCTTTGGGTGGAATCCACCCAGAGGATGAAAGCAGCTGTCTCCGCTTGGAACAAGGGTGCCGGGTGTCCTGCCTTGCTGAGGGTTGGCCCGGCAGGCCGGACCCGCTCGCTCCGACTCTGGGTGCCTCAGCTCCGGGGGGAGGCGTCGCCTGGGACTCCCCACCTGCAGGGAGAGGGACTCCAGGTCCT